TCCTGGGGCTTCATGAGCTCAGATGGGCTGGGAGACCTGGGGAGACCTTCGGACATGTGACCCATGAGAGGCCCTGTTACCATGAGAGGATAAGCAGGGTCGTTACACTGTGTGTGTGTCTCCCGCTGTGTGTCCCTCCACCCAGGCCTCTGTCTCCCACTCACACCCAGGCCCAGGCACCATCAGGGAAGCCGCCTCGTGTCAGAGTGAACCTGCTCTGTGCCACCCCCTGCAGAGTGGCCTGAGGCGGGAGGAGGGGCAGCCTGGGGAGCTGAGATCTGAGACCTGGGCCAGGCCTGCTCATGGCTTTGTCTACAGTTCTCCTGGGGCTGGCGGAGCGTGTGACCCAGACGGGGACGGGGTTTCTGTCCCACTTCCCCATCTGCCTGTGTCACTGTGAGATTGTCATCACTGGTACTAGACTGACAGTAGTAGTCTGCCTCGTCCTCGGCCAGGACCCCGCTGATGGTCAGGGTGTTTGTCTTCCCAGAGCTAGTGCCCGAGAATCGGTCCGGGATCCCTGAGGGCCGCTTGCTATCATCATAGATGACCGCCACAGGGGCCTGGCTGGGCTTCTGCTGGTACCAGTCAGTGTATTTTTTATCCAGTAAATCTCCAGTGCAGGTGATGCTGGCAGTCCCTCCCGGGGCCACTGACAAAGGGCCCGACTGGGTCAGCTCATAGGAGGCCACAGAGCCTGTAAGAGAGGAGAAGGGGGCGGGGGCTTGAGGATTAGGTCCCATTACCAGGAGGTTCCACCCGGAGGCTGTGCCTGGAGGAGCTCAGGGTTGGAGCAGGTCCAGCTCAGGTCCTGGGGGCAGCACCTGTGCAGAGAGTGAGCAGGGGGAGCAGGAGAGGGGTCCAGGCCATGGCGGAGACGCCCCGGGTTCAGCCTCTGAGCCCGCAGCTGGGCAGGTGGCCTCTGGGTGGCTCTTATGTTCTGCAAGCGGCTCCTCATGCAAATCTCCTCCTCCCTGCGGGCCTCCTGGACTGGCTGCAGCTGCTCAGGGCACAGCTGGGCTAATGGGAGTTCAAATAGGAGCCTCCCTCCAGCCTGTGCCAGTGCCCGGAGCTCTCCGTGGTGCTGAGGGAGATGGTGCTGACCACTGACCCAGCCCCTGCACACACCCCACGCTGACCCCTGACCTCCTGTCTGGGCTTGGGGAGAGACCTGGGGCCTCCACTGGGGATCAGATCACCCATGTGGGCGGGGCCTGCTCATAGGGACAGGGGCCAGTGGTCCTGCTGCTGCGTGAGGGGCAGACTCCATGCTCAGACCCATGAGCTTGGTCAGGGGCCTCTCAGGTCACCTTTTTCATGTTAGAAATCATAGGAGAGTTTTGGGATCTATTGAGGGAAAGAACACCCACAGCTTTGATAATACCAGATGGATGATTCCAGGAGAGATCAATAGCATTGAACCTCACAGAATGAATATTTTCCCTTAAAAAAACTGTTGAAAGAGGATCAGAAAACAAGTAATAAAGAGAAAACATTTGCAAACTCATTATCCAATGGACACCTCGAGTACAGAATATAAAAATCTCAAATCTAAACAGCAAGAACCAAGAAAACTACTACGATTTATGTAGAACATGGGTAGTTGTCAAGAAGAACCATGTAGTGAGGAAGATATATTGGTGGCAACAAGCACAGAAAAGATATTCATCCTTGGCCATTAGAGAAATGCCAATGACAATCCCGTGAGATTTCAGTTCCCGCGTCTCAGGTTGACTAAAGTGAAAGAAGGAGTGACCCACACTGCGGGCAAGGATGTGGAGAACTGGGGTCACTCACACGTGGCTGCTGCCCGTGGGAAATGGTACAGGCAGTCGGGAAAGCGTGGCCAGCTGCGGGAAGTGCTACCCTTGTCACTGCTGCACAACCCCAAGGAGCACTGGGGCACTGATTTCAGAGAAGCGACAACATATGTTCACAGAGAAAGGACAGGATGCTGTTCCCGGCACCCGTGGGCATGACGTGCCCAGAGAACATGCGATGCCCGTGCCGGGTGGAGGGCCCACAGCACCTGGCACAC